CTAGTAGCGTCCTTGCTCCTAGTAGCGATGCCCTTTGCTCCTAGTAGCGTACCTTGTTCCTAGTAGCGTAAGAAGCATGGTAAGCATTGTTCTCGCCAGGTTCCCATCTCTGGACGCTTGGTCTGCAACTTCAGCGTCGAGGCCCAGATCCAAGCCTCGCTCTCAGGCGGGACTGGTTTTGCGGATCAGTTCTTTACAAATCCCCTTGTGGCCTTGGGGAAGATGTATTTTTTCCGGCTCCTAGACAGCAAATCCAAGCATGGGTGCCCCGAAGCACCCCTGCAGTAGAAGGAAGAATCTGATCAAGCCAACTTGTCCCCGCTATGTTGGTTCGTTTAGTGCGATGTACAGCCGGCTTGATAAAGAGGCGCGCTTTGCACCCCAATGCACCACTATATTTGACGAATGTGTGAACGCGTGCCAATGGTTGTGTGGGTGGTTTTTGATCACTTTCCACAAGGGCCTGACGTGCACTGACAGATTGTGATTGTTGGGAGCCAAACATCTACATTCATGGATATTCATTGTATATTTTATGATCTATATATATATGTGATGTGATTATGTAACGTGAAGTAATGTGTATTTCAAAATTACATACTAAGCGTGTGTGTTTGTGTGTTTTCCCTTTCTTGTTGTTTGGGGTTCGACCAGGCTCACCCAACTATCCACAAAACAACCAAGAGTAGCAGGCTACCGCCGTTTTGCAGCCCGATTCGTTCCATGTTCCGCCCGGTTTTTGTTTTCACCTCATTTCACTTCATGACCAAGAGCCGAACGGGATTCCATGGAAGGCATCGAAGATGACGATTTCCTCGGTTTCTTGGACACTCACTTTGAGCTCACTCGCTTCAAGGCCTTGACGAATCTCTTTTAGACGCTATTGTGGCGTCCCTGGAAGTGGTAGTGAAACGGCGGGGTTTCAGAGTTTACCCCACAGAGTGGGCATATGGCATATGATATGTCATAATGTGGGCATTCTAGGGCGTTCCGTTTCGTTGCTATGATGATTATTCAAAACGCAAATCAAAAGTCCTGCATGTAACTATGGGACTTCCAGCCAGTGATGTTTGCAGATTTAGATCTTTAGCCTTTGGCCACTCTTTCTATATCTTTCTGTGTTGATGAAACAGACAAGGGACGTTCATGCAAGTTGCCAAGTTATCCACCCAATTTGGCCATGGTTCAGACGCCCCATCACCGTGGACGACCGGTCGTCCCGATTGGCCGTTTCGGATGCGGAAAACCTCGTGTCACTGGGAGCGTAGCGGGCGCTGGTTGCCCGGCAGCAGGCGGATCGCAAGAAGATCCCTGCCCTGTTCGCGAAATGGTTGGAATTAGACGGCGCGGAGGGCGGGTTGAGGAGATTGAGGGCAGGGGTTGAGTTGCTGATGATTGAGTTCAGGATCGAAATGTGCTGGTGCTATTTGGGTTTGTATTTTAATAGGGAGGCCCCCTGGCCGGGTAGACCTCTCGGTCTCCTGGGAGGAGCTACACACCGTTTGGTTCATTGGCCTCTTGGAGGAAATTTGGCATCCCTTAGCCAGGGCATCTATATAGTTACCACTACGCATAGCTGGGTCCCTGGGTGGTTCCAAAGACTTATAACTATTGGTATCCCGGATTATCCCGGTTAAAGTGTCCCATGCAGGATCAACGAGCACATGCCTGGTATAAAATCATGGTTTATAACTTGCATTCTTTGCACTGGAGCTTGTAATGGCGATGTAGGATTAATCAACCTCCTTCTTGAAGGTCAACAAGGTTTGAGACTGGAGGTATTGGAGACCACATCCCCTTAATAAAGGTGATGACCTGATGATGGATGATGGTTGATAGGATTCTGTGTGAACACTGAGGCCTGTGACAGGGGTACCCTTTGTGAGCTTCAAAATGTTGCGATTTTGATAGAGTTTTAACAAGGGAACATGAAAGACTTTTGCTAGAGAGGCTTTTAGGTTTTGTGAAACAAAGATTGCTGAGAGCTGGGCTTAGATTGCAGCTTGAAAACAATAAGCTAATGTATTTTTGTACTTTTCTGGTGCATTTGGGCTTGATTAATGGGGGGGAGTTTTCTGCCAGGGGAGTTTTCTGCCAAGAAAACAATATTAGGGTGATGGACATGTGGAATTCAGGTTTTAAATTACGAAAGCCAGCCTTCGTAGAAGGCGCTAGCGGAGTTGTGTCTGGCGAACGAAGTGAGTAGTTAGGGGGTCTGGGGGGGGTGGCCCGAGAAAGGTATACGTCAACTCGGCACATGCTGGGAGAGGAGGGTGCTCCGAGGGAAGGTTTTTTGAGGTTGTATTGGAGGTGATTTTTGAGGGGTGGTGATGCAAGAAATGCCAAATGCATCATTTGCATCATCTGAATGGAAAGGTGTAGTTGGCACCTTGCAAGGTATAGAGACCTAGGGTAGCCATAGTGTAGCTACTAGGTATAGTACTTCAAGTTCCCTTTCCGTCAACCGCTTGAGAACCTCTACATACGCATAGCAATCCACAGCTTTGAAGTCTCATTCGTGCTTTGAACTTGTATAGGTGTGTAAGAGGTATACAACAACACAGTATTTATACGGACCCAGGGTAGTTACAAGTAGCTACAGTTCTGTTCCCGGGTATGGCGCGCATGAGGTTTCAAAGCTGTGGTTTTTAAGCTAAATGCAAGGTGGCCTGAGACCAGGGTTTGCTGCCCTAAAACACTCTGTTCAGGCCACCTTGAAAATAAAG